TTTTTTCGAAATGAATATTATCTTATTTTAATTAAGAATCTTTTTTATTTATCTTTAGTTTAAATAATTCGAATCATGGAAGTAATAAAAAAATTTATTCTCAAATAAATACAATTCAAAACTTTACGTTACCATTAATTCTGATTATTTTAAATATTGTTCTTTTGTTAAATATGATTTTGTTAAAGAAAATTTAAAAAAAATAATATAATTAATACAATTTGAATATCTGTGATATTTCTTATGTTACATTGAAAAATTTATATGTTTTAATTATTTAAAAAATCACTAAATAAAAAATATTATATTAAAATATTTTTGTATGATATAGAAAGAGAATATAAATATCAAATCATGCATTTTTGATATAGTGCCATGCACTTTGGAAAAATGATCGGTCAGTTCTGAGAAAAACCGGTTTCTCTTTTATAACAGAAGAAGCCTGGAAACTTAGGCCCAAATATTCTGCGCGTCATTCTGGAATGTGAGTTTCTGAAGGTAAAGGTCTAGAAGAAACTGAAATAAGCTCTCTCTATTTAAGAGATTTCTTAAAATTTTCGTAAAAGTTATAAAGGAAATATCGACACAAACATTCGAAATTTAGAATATGATTGTATCTAATATTTTAATTTGCGCATTAATCAATACGATTAATCAATTTCGATCATAAAAGTAATTAAAAATAACAAAGACTAATTGAGATTAACATTTTATATTTATAAAATATTATCGATAATTCTATTATATTATGAGATAACATGTACAATTAATTTTTGCTAAATATAGCCATCGTCAATTAATAATAAATGTCAATGTTAGAACAGATTCAAATCCATAAATCGATAAATAAATATACATATGCAAAGAGCACTTCAATACATAGTCACGATCGATAAGCAATTAGAGGCATATATAATGGATGAATTATCGAAACTGTTTTATATTCATGAATACATATTAAACAATTCTAAACAAAATATGAAAAATAATATAGACAATTCGTATGCTTTACAAATGTCTTACAAATATATTCAAGAACGAAATTTTTAAATTAGTAATCAAAAATAAAGAAAGTAAAGAATATTTGAATAAATGCCAAGCAATTTTACGCATGTATATTTCTCTTTATTTTTCAAAACACGTTGGTAATATAATAATTACTAATACCTCTCAATAGAATCATACATAATATGATTCTATGATTTTATTACATTAATTAAATGAAAAATATAGAATAAAATTTATAAACTTAAAAAAAATAGCTATTAAGAAAATTGAAAATTCGTTAAATATACTAATATCTAATTATTTTTTGATGGTATATTTTATTATTTATTTTTTGAAAAATTAAATTCATTAAATAATTTCATTTTACACTTTTCAGTTTATTTCTTCTCATGAAAACAATTCTTCTTTCACTTTTATATATAAAATTATTCTCTTTTATTATGAATTTTATCTATATATGTACAAGTATTTACATTGTTCACAATAATACAATAAAATAATATGCATGAATGAAATATTTATGTATTTCAATTTGCGTTTATTTTTAAAATTTTAAAAGTTTATAATTTATATAAAAGTTTAACGATCTTTAATTTAAAATATGTACACAATTAGTAATTCTTAAAAAATTTTAGGAAATAAAAATAGGAAATAAAAAAGTCTTCAAAAATATTTATAATAATTTTTAAATGCTATCGTATTTATAAATCCACGAACTTTAAAAGCAAGTTACATACCAAGAGCAAAAAAGATGAAATACCGATAATCTCGTTATAGCACATCAATTGATTGATTAAACATTTCTTGATAATCTAGTTATTCATTCAACGAATCTCTAATGGAGCGGAAATTAATTAAACCTGCTTATACAACACATTAGCGACAATAGATTAATCGTAATAAAATGTGAAAAAAATATATACCTTTTTGTTTAATACAAAAGCAGTTATTAAGTTAATTTTAATAATCTAACTTCAATAATACAATTCAATGTTAATGAAATACAAAAATTAAATATTTTAACATTATATTTATTAAATACAATTACAAAATTGCATTATTTTAGATATTCAATGAATTAAAAACTACAAAAAGCTTTTTTCAAATTGTTATTTTATTAATATTGTATAATAATTCATTATATAGAATGTTGAATTCGTTAAAGGCAATAAATTAAAAAATATATTTTTAAAAAAATCGTTTTTTTATAAATATATTCACTTAAAAGGTAAGGAATAATGTAAACTATTCCGTACTTTTTATATTACTAATATATTTATAATTTATTCACATAAGTTTCATTAATTGGTTTTTGCATTGTAATGATTGCCGATTATTTATGAGAAAAAGTATAAAACTAAATATGTATATATAATATAACGTTGAACGCGACGTGACAACCGTCTCGTGTGAAGCGTATTTACGTCGAATCACGTAAAAATGACTCACTGTGTTGTTATGTAGCGTACATTCTCATGTTATGAATGAAACGATTCTATAAGCTCGATGTACTTATCAGGAATTCTCTTCTATTTACAAGAATCTCAATCGTGTATAGATCCAAATGATTTCTACTTCCAATAACCGTTCTCGATTACCTCATATTCGATTACTTTATTTATATTATAGACTTTAAATCGATTTTATTGATATTACTTTTCAGATATCAAATTCACGCAAGAATTATATATATATATAAGTATAGATTTTAAATATTAAATAAATTTAATACATAATATAGAAATGGAAATAATTCCATTTCGTTTGCAATTTAACCGTCGGCGAATAGCAAATCTTGCGAAATTATCGCAATGTTATGTTTTTGATTTTGTAAAAAGATGATGGAAGAATATATAATATAACACTCTCGTGTAAAAATTTATTTTATAATTCAAACGAAGAGCGAAATTTTGTTACGGATTAAAAATGCCCAATATGCAACAATTTCATTATATCGCCTTCCAAGAGTTAAAATACTATAGCATATATCGTATGTATATTATATCGAATGAACAAGAATTTCAATATCCACGTCATCCCAAACAAATTGATATTGCTCAAGAATTTTTTGTTTCGTTTTGATTCATTCTATCCTTCATCTAGTATTTCTTAACTGTACTGACAGAAACCTCGTTGTCAAGAAATAAATGCGCGGCCTCCGTCGGCGAATGTACATTATTTCGTTCCCGAATGAATCATCGATCCGAGTGAGACACTCAATGTAAAAAATCAAAATTTCACCAAAATTAAAACCATCTAATTTCGATAGATTTTCATTATCATTTTTTCTGAATTTAAATCCAATTATATACCATGAAACTACAATGCATAAACGACGTTGTTTGACCAAATTAAAATTAATCTCTTAATCACAATACTATATACGTACGTTAAATATATGAAATAAAAAATATTGAATTTTATTATTTTAAATTTTATATTTAAATGTGAATCAAACGAATCAGGAAAGTATAAGATAATTTAGTATTAAAAACAAAAAATTTCGTCGATATATTTTTAAATTTCATATTAATTGCGAAATAATTATTTAATTCTAAATAATTATGAACAAGAAATAAGAAAATAAAATGATAAAATTAGAAAATACATGAAAATAACAAATGCTATTACATTAATTTTCGTTATTCGTATTATCGAGTAATTTGTCATACATTAAATATTATAATATATTTCGAGAATACACATCTATTTTATATAATTTTTGTAATTCGTGTTTTTACATTCTATTGATTTATATTAATGAATTAATATCGGTCTTGTATGTGATCTCGACAAATATAATTAGTTTTTGAATGAAATTTTATTCCGACTATACAACATGTAATTTGAGAATTATTCTCAACAGAATTTTAAATAATTGAATTACAAGAATTGAATCACTTAAGCTTCAAATTATCGCATCAAAGTCCATAATTAACAATCATGCTTTTGAATAATTAGCCGTTGTCACCAACAGACGATAAATGTCACGTTTCGAATCACTCGAACGTCTAATTATATGACAAATGTATCCACTGGTATGCATAACTACTTTGCAACGTAGTCAACTTTCAAACTGACAGAAATAACAAGAGTATGATTTTTGAGTCATATGTAGACGTGACATTTGATAAGAGCAGGTCGTTTTACAAAACAATGATTGTAATTATTTATGAAAATAATTGAAACGATAAAACAGTAAATTCAAACAAAGTCGATTTTTAATAATATAATAATAAATTTTTAATAAAATCAAATCGAAAAATATTTTTTAAGAAAAAGTATTTTTTTCAATTTTCATTGTATTTTTTACATTTTTAGATATTTTTAATATTTCGTAAAATTCAAAAAATTTTAACACTTAAAATTTACAGAATCATTGTTAAATATATCTAATAAAAATCCAATTAATACTAATTTATAAATTTTAATGAAAAATTGATATTATAAAAAAAAAGAATTAAAAAACAAATTTTTAATTTTTTAAATTATAAGTGCAAGTGAATATATAATTACTTTATATATATCAATTGCAAATTTAATTTTATTAAATATTATTTTTCGAATTAGAAGTTTTAAATATGAAAATTTATTATAAAAGAATTCAAGTTAATATATCTTTATTATGTATTTATTATAAATATATAAGTTAACGTTAAATCATATAATAATAATAAAAAACGTTAAATTATTGAAATGATAATAAAACTTCTTCTGTCTAATATTAAAATATAATTCGCAATTTATTTTAATAATCGTATATATATTACAAAGATTATTCTAAAATGAAATTTTAGAATTATATGAAATTATTTTATTATTTTAATTATATGAAATTATGATTTTCATTATAATTAAAATAGATCAATAAACGTATATATAACAAAAATATAGTACAATTTGAAAATACATAGAAAAAAATTTCAAATTAGAATACCATTACATATTTTTTGTTTGACAAATTTTTTTTCTTAAAAAAAATGTAAACTTACCGTAAATACGAGGATAATCCGTACGTAGCCGAACGGAGGAATTCTGCTTTTCAGTCAAAAAATCCTTCAAATTCAGGTGTGCACTGTATATTTGTGCACATGTCACACGAAAGCGAATCGAGTAGCAAAAATAAAGGCAAATGAAAATCTTTGTGATAATAGTAGATAAAGATTTATATTGTAGTCACGTTTGTCTTTATTCAGCTTCTCTGTTTCACCATTTAGCACATTTTAACGGCACGTATGAACGATCGATTTCTTAACGTATACATGTAACAATTATCATTGGTAATTGCGTGCCCCTTAGAAGTAATCGTTAGGTTAGGTCGCCGGTATGTCGAGAACGCACTCACAAAACTGCCAATTAAGAATCCAACTTCTGTTCACCGTTGTTCAAAACTTATTTGAATTCACTCAAAGTGGCTTGAAAACACGAAACGAAAGCACCTTGGAAAACACACACGCGTAAAGGACGCCTATTTTACACTTGCATCGATTTTGGCGTTAACGTATCTACACGATAAAACTTGCGAAATGATACGCGGAAACAACTTTTAATGTACCGTACACAAATCGAACTGATTTTGATAAAATATCTCGATAGGAACAGGAAATTTTCTTCACTTTCTCCACTTAAAAGCAAAAATCTCGATCAATGAGAATTTCTATGACACAAGCTCAATATTACTGTTACCTGCCTTTTTTTCTTTATTTTTACCGGCAAGCCGGTTCATGGATATACGCTTCTTTTTTGCTCTTTGAAGTTCTACTCTTATCCTTCCGTTCTTTGTTCCTCACGGCTCGGCCGCTGCTACGTGACTGGCCGATCGCTAGACACTTATGCCACACGAGGCGCGCCGAAGGCAAACGAAGGGGGACCGACGGTTCGTCGATCGGAAACGACCCTCAGTTGAGGGAGCCTTCCTTTGTTCAGGCGAGACTGTGCAGCATGGCTCGTAATATACTTTCTCTCTCTTTCGCTTTTTCTTCCCTTTTCCCCACGCTCGATTCTTCCTTCTATTTTTCACGTTTATTCGTTTTTCCACTTTTATTTCTTTCTCTTCCTTGCACACATCCACGACAATTTTCTCTTCTCTTCCTGCTCAATTACAATTCCTATCTCACTACTCTCTCTCTCTCTCTCTCTTCCTTCCTCTTCACTCTTTTTCTCCCGCTTCACTACAGTACGAATGATCGTACGGTCTGTTAATAACTAAAACGACAGCAACGATCACACATAGCGTCTCGACGTTGGTAACGACGGCGAAGCGTTGGCGGTGGTGATGGCACCGGTGGTGGAGTGACGGCGTTGGTGGTGGAGTGACGGCGTTGGTGGTGGGTGGTAGCGATGGTAGTGGCGACAGCGACAGTGGTGGTGGTGGCGGCAGCGGTGGTGGTGGTGGAAGTAGTGGGGTAGTGGTGGCGTCGCTATCCCTTCTCGCTTGACGGGGGCGGAAGAGGTGTATAAATATAACCACTACCACCGGTTACTACCCCTCTTGTATTACCCTTGGACATTCCGAACGGTATCCTGCGCAACCCCACCATGTACTATATATTCTCCCCACACGTTTCACTCTGCCATAAACTGATGATCATCATAACGGATGCACGAATCCAAAGAAATCGGTTGAAAGTTATTCACCGTATAGTTTAAGTGCCATTGACTGCTTTTATAAGGACTTGACAAATGCCAGTGATTAAATTTATAGCTATCTATGATCATTCAGATTTAAGATCTATTCATAGAATCTATACATAGAATCCATAATTATGAAATCAATTGATATATCATAACATCTAATCGCGCATATATTAAATTTAATACGTAATTTATATGTATACAAATATCTGAATAAATTTAAAACATTATTTATATATATATATATATGTATATATATATATACCAAAAATTATAAAAAAATTATAAAGGAATATAAAAAAAGGAATTTTTCTATAATAGATATTGAATTGTTACTTTTTTTGTGTTACTGTAAATAATATATTAAATAAATTTAAAATTAAAAATCAAATGATTAAATATAATTAAAAAAACAATAATAAAATGGAACATTTTTATTTGCATATCTTTTTTCTGAAAAAAAAAAAGAAATAAAAATATCAAGAAATATTATTGCTGTTCTTAAATAACAATTTTTTAAAGAATAATTTATATAATTTGGAATACAATATAACATTAATATGTATAGAAAATATTACAAAATTTTAAAATTGAAATAATGTAACAATTTGTCAAATAGCTATAACGTACATACGACATGTAAATATCTCATTAAAAAAAAAATAATCTTAATATGCTTAAATTTTTATACTATATATAACAAATATATTACATTTAAATATTTAAAATTATTTTATTGTTATTTTAAATAATAATAATTTCAAATTACTGTTTTCTAATAAATTAGAGACATTTTAAAATTACTTAGATTTTTTCAATATACTATTGTTAAAATTTTTACTTAAAATTATAACACATTTTAATTTTGTTATTATAACATAAAATCTATTATAAAAAAATTATAATATTAATATACTTACACATTTTAGATATAATAATAATTTTTTTCAATAATTAATTAGTTTATTCATAAATTACATTTTTCAAATATTAATAAATAATAACAAGTATTAATTTTTATTTTATTGAAATTTTATTAATTTTTGCGACATATTGATTTGTTCGTAATATCGATTGAGAAATACTATTTTAGACATATTTTAGACATATAATAGACATATAAAAATAGACAATATTAATAACATGAAACATGATGATAGAAGTTTTGATAAAGTATACGAATGATACATGAAAGAATTTATTCGTATCATAATCTATAATGCAATATACATAGCCTTTCACGGATCGATAATTCATTGTTATCTTTTTTTTTAACGATCTATCTGTTACGATAATGTGACAATGAAATATATATATTTTATGGGAATTTTCAGAAACTTATACAATTATATTTGTTCATCCTTTGTCTTTATAAAATAATGATAAACTTTTTTTATATTTTAAAAATTATACCAACTAATATTATTTAGTCAAATTTAAAATATAAAATTTATTAAATATGTCAGTAAAAAAAAATCTATATAAATTATTAAGATAAAAAAATTAAATAAATATTTTG